TTCAGAATTTTCCTGTTAGGACACGCAGAAGTGGATTTACTGTCAATCCTAGTTATCCTTATAAAATAATGTATCAGCCTTAGCCTGAGCGTTAAGTCAGGGCAAGCGAGACAGCCAGTGCCCTGTGAAAGCTAAAAATAGACATCAGCTACCAAAGTGAAAGCAAACTCTCTTTAAACATCAAACAGTGTTCTGTTCCATAAACCATCTTTCATTGCTTATTCGTGTCCTTCCTGTAAATATTAATGCAGTAATATTACATTGTCTCATAATAAACATTTAACAGTATAAATCTGAGGCTATAGGGCCACACACCAACACAAGTCCTAATGTGGACACACGTATGATCGTTTACTTAGAATTTAGGTATAAAAACAAAGCAATCAGCACTAAGAGACTTTAAGGCATCACAGTGAGTCTACTTTAGAAACAAATAGAAAATGAGGCTGCAGCCCGACTGCTCATCACTGCCTTTGTTAGCTCTTGAAGTTCAGGATCTGGCTGCTGGACTGGGGTCTGCATTCATTCAGTTTTAACATCACTCTGGGTTCTAGGCTAGGTTAACGTTAGCACACTGACTCTGTAGATGCTTGCAAGGAGCTTGGTTTAGCACCGTAATGCAGTTGTTTCTGTCCGGGATGCAGTTTACAGTTTGCACTCGTTTTTGGGGGAATACAAATAAAAGAAATGCCCATATCCATACACACAAACTAAAATCAGCCGATTGTATTGCAACCTATATGCACGATTGATAAGCAAGCAAGAAGAAATGTAACTTTTGGGAACTACTTCTCGATTCCTGAAACTTACAGAGCCAAATGAAAATGGTTTAGTGGCCATCTGACAGTTTCCCCCAAAGCTTTAGACTCATCTGTGGCATAACACCACTGTCTTGAATGTCCTAATTACCTGTATGAGGGGCGCCGTGACAGAATCTCTCTGCGCTTCTGAGAGTCGGTCACGCTGTCTACAGACTCCTGCGAATCCTCGCTTTCTGCTATGGTGGAGATCTGGAGCATCAATCAAAAGAACAAGACATTAATCAACACTTCACGGTTAATGATCTTGTGCTGAGGCTGAATAAAAAGACAGTACTGCTCAAGCTTCACCTGTACGGCTTGGACCTGTGGGGACTGGATTACAGATGGCTGCGCAGCCTGGATCACACCGTGGACCTGAACCGTCTGTCCGTTGGGCAGCTGTACCAGTGTTACTGTGGGACCTGTTGCTGAAGCATGTCCTGCTGTCATGGACACCTAGATTCAGAGGTGATATGAGTGAGCTATCACATGCATTTTAACACACTTCAAGATGGGCACTGAACGCACTGAAAGTAGGGGAAGTTGTGTCAACATCATCTTCATCACGCGATTGATACCTGCGCCAAAGTAGCAATCTGTGCCGGGGTGATGTGCTGGTTCTCCGTCTCAGTCACAGCAGTCTCTGCCCCCTGCTGAACCTCTGCTGCTGACTCCATCTTCATTGGCTAACCTGATGTTGTAACCTGGGTGCAGATTTGAATGAAGCTGTTAGAACGAAGCTTTTGGGGAGCTGCAGCAAGCAGGCGACTGAAGCTTAGAAGCGTAGAATATGTTTGAATTTAAACTTCCACTTAAATAAAAACTCCGAACGAGTCACCAAGGAGTCAATAACAGTAAACATAACAACAGTTGTCAACCACTGGCCATCTTAGTAAACATACTATCATTCTCTTAAAAAAATATGGCTTTTATGATGCTAATCATCAATAATAAAATCTCCTGGAAGCTTCTTCTATACCTGTGCAATGTTCTGGTATTTAAAGCCCGCACTGCTTTACAATAAGCTGAAGGCATTTGTCGTCTTCATGTCTGAATGTAAACCCTGGTCACTTTTCTGTAAAGGCAGAACTGCAATCACTGACTAGGTCAGACCTTAAAATAATTCTGCATGAATTTAAACACAGCATACGTCTGAGAGAATGGCGTCACAAAGCTACTACTCTCCTGCTTCTCTACGAGTTTGTCAGCTCAGCAAAAGACGACTGCTTCGGGTAACGGCAGCAATAACAGAAAAGGCCAACAGGGTTTTCAGCTCTCGTGCTTTCAGTGCAGCGTCTGCTTTCAGTCGGTTTCACGGTCTCACATTTCCCGAGCTAATCTAAAAAAAGACTTTTCTCCCTAAAATTTAAGCACAATACATTTTAAGTGGTTCCCCTGCAGGTTTCTGTCATTCAACTTATTCACATTACTACAAATGTAAATGTCAACTTGTTTCTGTTTTATAAATTCTTTCTCACAGCGATAATAGCTGAACAAGCTGTTATTTCACTCCTGCCAGGAAGAGGAGAGCTGGACACTTTTGGGCTGCGTCCTTCGGTATCCCACAACACACACATACACCTGAACCACTCTTATCTTCACTCCCTTCTACATACGCACCAACATTCCTCTGTCTATTCACTGTTGTATTACTTTTGTATATAAATAAAGACCAGAGCGGTAACAGAGCGCACATCACAGGGCCCCCACTCTGGTGTGA